CCGGCTCTCTCCAGGCCGCCCCGTGGGAAGGAGAAGTGGGTTTGCGATGTGTAAAAGAGCCAAACAAAGCACTGTCCCGCTTCCCAAATACTCCCCTGTAAGCGCTCGTCCTTCACGCCTGCTCTGCTGTGGGCTGGTGGGTGCTGGCAGCGGGGCAATGGCCTCAGGTCTTCTCCAGGCTTTGAAACTCTCTGTAACTCCTCCTGGGTTTCTGTTATTCCTCCTGGGTTTTCAGAGAGTGCTTTTTGGAGCTGGGTGGGGGCGCGTTGCCTTCTTTGTTGCGGGGCGTTTGGAGGTGGTTAGTGTGCCAGCAGCACACGCTTCTCTGGGACACGGAGCACGAACGTCTGTCGTTTGCCCGGACAGAGCTGGGGTGGCCGGAGTCCGTACCTTACCTTGACAGGCCTCCGTCCCCGCTGGAGTTTTATCGAGAATGGGTGAGTCCGAATAAACCGTGTATAATTCAGAATGCCATCAGCCACTGGCCAGCTCTGAAGAAATGGACCTTGGCGTACCTCAGGTATGAACGAGCTTTGGAGCAGGACTAGTGGTCGATTTTGGTTGAGCTCAGTAAAAGGGTCTTCTTAGTCTTTGTTTTTAATAGTAAGACTAGCTCACGTTCCTGTGTGCTTCTGTGTGTTGGTGTTCAGCCCTGCCACCATGTCCGAAATTGATGTACAGATGTTTTTCCTGCAAACACGCTGTCCTGGCCAGCTCTGATGCTGTCGGGAGGGTGGGTGTTTTCACTGGGCACAGACCAAAGCTCAGGCGATGGAAACCCAGTCCTGTTGCTGTGCTCCAGCCTGGGCTCCACCTTGTGCCCTCCCAGCTGAAGCGGGGCCCTGGTGCTTTTGGAACAGACTGGCTTGGTTGTGGCTGAGTACACCTTGTTTTTTTTAAAATAAAAAAACAATGATCATTTCAACAATGACTGAATTTTTAAAGGGAGATTTTTCTTTAAGAGGGGGATTTATGGTTATACCTAAAATCCGTGTGTTAGACCCAAATCTGTGGGTTTAAAGCTAAATTTGTTCTGGAACTAAGGGCTGTTAGCCTCACACGATGGGTGTGTCTGTCAATCTCTGGCCGCTGCTTCTCCCTCCTCGACTGCTTTTGAGCATGTGGCCACCCAGATTTGTCTGGGTTGAGTGATCCCCAGACTATCAGGCTCCACTGTGATTTGTGAAAAGAACTGGCCAAAGAGGGCCTTGCACCTACACAGAATTATAGAAAGGATGTTCCTCTGTGAACTTGCCTGTTTAGGAGAGGATTCAGAGAGGCAGAAAAGACTCAGGGAGCAATCGGAGCAGACACTGGAGTGCTTACCAGACAAAAATGTGGTCTGGAGACACTCATCCATGGAAAGCCAGGCTTCTCTCATTTGCTACCTGTGAAACGTGTTGTTTTTAAAGTAACTAATGTCCAGTACATGGGTTATAATCCTTTGATTTATTTTGCAGGAAGGTAGTGGGTCCCAAGGTAGTGAGTGTGGCAGTGACACCAAATGGTTATGCAGATGCGGTGTTTCAGGACCGTTTTGTCATGCCAGAGGAGCGCCAAATGCCTTTTGTGGATTTTCTGGACATTGTAGAGAAGAAAGTGACCTCTCCCAACGTATTCTATGTGCAGAAGCAGTGTTCAAACCTCACCGAGGAGTTCCCTGAACTTGTCAGTGACGTGCAGCCTGACATACCATGGATGAGTGAGGCGCTTGGTAAACCTTGTATTTCTCCTGTATTCAGTAAATGTTTGGTATGGAGCTTTAAAGCAGTCGTGCCAGGTACATGGCGAATGTTTGTTCTGTTTCCGAATGCCACAGTTTGGTTTCATCCCCTTAGAAAGCAGAAGTTGTAAAATACTTAATAATGAAGTAATCCAAGTTATGGGTTTGGGTTATCCCAGAATCAGTATCTCAGTTGAGTGTTGGGACCATCATAACTGAAGCAACATGGTGACAGTGCTAATAGCACTTCTTGTGTAGTGGCTTTTCTCCAATTTAGAGTCAGGTTCCAACTGGGATTCGTGCTGCTGCTACTAAAGCTGTGATAGCAAATGAGTGAAACAACACACAGCTCCCACTGACTTTGGTAAAATTACAGATCTTTGGTTGTAGTTAAACACTGCTCTGCTTCACTTGGTTTCAATTTCACAGCAAGTCTCTCCTTAAAATGTCAAAAGAGAATTATTTACTCTGATCTCACCTTTTTGCATCTGTACCTAGACATGCTGCAGTTTCTCTGCGAGATAAATAGTAGGGATTAAGAATGTGGAAACACGGGGTTGTAACCATCACTTTGGGGAGAGATGATGCTATGCCGTGAGCGTGATGGGCCCTGCAGTGGCTTCCAGTGTAAGAGGAGGTTGCTGTTGCTCACTGAGCACTATCTGCAATGAAACCTGCCATAGTTATGAAGGAAGTTAAAGGACAGGATTTGGCAAAAATCAGTGGAAAATTATTTGAAATGCTTTTAAACATGACACTTCAAATTCTGTTTCTGTTGACAACATCTCTCTATTCCCTAACCATACAGGGAAGAAGCCTGATGCTGTGAATTTCTGGCTTGGGGAATCTTCTGCTGTGACATCTTGTACGTATTGTTAATGGCGCTGTCGGTCCTCTGTGGACTTTCAGCACACGTTTCAGCGGGCTCGTTTTGAGTTAGTGGCTCAGCAGAGCTCTGGATTTCCTCTGACAAGGCGATTTTACTTTAACGGGCTTTTTTACATTCTTTCTTCTGCGCTTCTGCAGCCTCGTGCTGCTCTGTCTCTGGGTGCACCTACCCGGTGTTGGGTCATGGGAGGCACTGACAATTTGCTTCACTGAATACAGTTGCTACAACATTGTATTGTTACTTTCCACTGGCAGCAAAAGGAGGAAGCAGCCTGATAATAAGAGGACAAGACAGTTCAGTTCACTGTAGTTTTTTGATGTAGAGAAGGAAATAATGCTGACTTTCTCTCCTCCACATTTCTTCTTGTTTTTTCTTTTTTTTTTTCCCCCTCAATCTTAGTACATAAAGATCACTATGAGAACTTGTACTGTGTGATATCTGGAGAGAAACAGTTTCTGCTGCATCCACCGAGTGACCGTCCCTTCATCCCGTATGGTACATAATTTACTCTGCAGTATTGTCTGGAGGTTGGAAGGAGGAGAGGCTAAAATATTGAAAGATCTGAAAAAGGAAGCAGAAATAACATCTTAATGTTTATCCAGTGTAACACTTTACAGCACAAACAGAAATCTCTTCTCTTTCATGCTGCAGGTAGTTTGTGTTACAAACGTTATTTTGAGGTAAGGCTTACGAGTCTTGTAAAGTAATAGGTTCATTGATACTCATGGCAGTCTCTTCAGCTTTAGAATATTTAAATTATTTAAGTATTTTGTCAGTATTGTAGCATGTCATCTTTTGATGTTTAACAGGTTTGGATTCTGCCTGCTCATTCTTTTCTCTAGGAAAAAACGCCAGGGAGATGAAAAATAAGTTATAATTTAATGAAATATTAAAGTTATTAACTGAATCTCTGTAACTGGAGAAATTAAAACAGAGATTCTTATGGCAGTGTTACTTCATGTTGCCCATTTTCTCCTTCTTTCTGTTTGTTTCCTACGTGCACAGTAATAGTTTGTTGTACTGCTGTGTCACCTAGAAGATGGACAGCTTAACTTCATGTCTCATAGATTTTGTTTTCCCATTCGTTGACTTTCAGACCTTCACATTAAGCAAATGCAGAGTGCTATAGGACACTAATATAATTTTGCCCAGATATGTGCACTGCTACAATATTTTATTTATATTGGCTTCATTTTGTTTACAACCTCTAAATCACAGAATCATGACATGGTTTGAGTTGGAAGGGTCCTTTAAGATGATCTAGTCCATCCTCCGCCAGGTGGCTCAAAACTCCGTCCAACACACCTTGAACAGTTGCGGTGATGGGGCATCCGTAATCTCCCTGGGGAACTTATGCCAGCGTCTCGAAACATCTCTAAAAATTCTGCCTTATATCCAATCTAAACCTACCCTCTCTCAGTTTGAAACTGTTGTCCCTTGTCCTGTTGCTTACAGGCGTCTGTACAAAGTCTTTCTCTGTCTTTCTTATGGCCCTGCTTTATATACTGGGAGGTTGCCATAAGGTCTCCCGGGAGCCTTCTCTTCTCTGGGCTGAACAGCCCCAACTCTCTCAGCCTGTCCTCGTAGGAGAGGTGGTGTCATATTTATGTGAATACATGAAATATGTGTCTGTTATGAGAGTCACATATTGCAAAACAAGTTACTGTTACAGCACAGAAGAGAGATAACATATTTTGTAGTGAGTAGTAAAAAGATGAGTCCATCTTTCTGAACATCAGGTTCGTGGAGAGAAACCCTCTCAGGCGAGAACTTGGAAAACCCTGGGCGCAGAAGCAGTGAAAGAAAAGCAGCCTGCACTATCTCGAAGCAGTTGCTGAGCCCTTTGGATAAAATTAGAAGTGAAAGGTGACTAATAACTCTTGTGAATGCTGTCTTGCTAGGCTGACCTAAGAAGAAATAGCAGAATGTAGAACGATGTGTAAGTCAGGGATGCATTTCTGATATATTTATTCCAAAAGGGAAACAAGACCGTTACTTGAACAAAATAGGACCAGGAGTAAATGGGTTTTGTGGAGAATAACTCCTGTGAAGAAGGTGCATTGGAATTTCCAACAGGAAGGCACTTCATTATTCAGACTGACTTAAAAAAATAAAAAAATAAAAAACTGGATAAAATTTGAAATGGACATAGGTAAGGACAGTGAGTTGAAAATGATTTTGTCTTAATTTTTCTTCTATTTGATGGAAATGTGATATGCCCTGCCATTAGTTTCTCTGAGTACTCCTCTGAGTTGTGTCTTTTAATTCTCGCTGTGGTTTCAGAACTCTATCAGCCAGCAACCTACCAGGTATCAGAGGATGGCTCATTTGAAATTGTGGATGAGAAGAGTGCAGATAAGGTAAAAAGTACATAAAGAATACAATCAGTACCATAAACATAGTTTTGGACACTCCTGAGCCCTCAAACTGAGCATGTTCATTGAAGGATAGGAAGTCTTTGTTATGTGAAAGAGAATACCCAGATATTTCATTTGTATCTTTCTGCTTGCAAGGGATGCCCAGCTTCCAGAAAAGATTTTTATGGCACACCTGAAACCATTGATATCATAAACTACCTTCTTTGCACCAAACTTAAACAGATCTGGTAAAGGACTTTTAAATTTATAACCCCCTAGGGCATTGAACAAATCAGTGCAGGCAAGAGGGATTTCCCAGCAGGAAGAGGGGGTTTAGCTGCTGGGAATAAAATTAGACCAGAGAACTTTAGAAGAAGACAGGAATTTCTAAAAAGAGCAGTGCAGATAAAATACTCAAGTACTGAATGTAGGAGGAACAAGTGGACTTAAGGGGCTGGAGGTTTTGAAAGTATGGCACGAGATGAGAGTTGCATGGCTGACGTTTAACATCCTTTACCTAATAAATGTTTTGCCAAAGGAGGCAAATTTTTGCATCCTTGACCTATTCCCAGCAAAATACATGTTTTGTAACCTAGTAAGTTTGGTTATCAGTTGTTTTTCTGGACACTTGCTGGATTTTGTTTTGCCAGAGTCAGCACCACAGGCATGCCCTTTTGCTTTTAGGTGCCCTGGATCCCCTTGGACCCCTTGAACCCGAATCTGGAGCAGTATCCAGAGTATGCTCAGGCAAAACCGTTGCGGTGTACGGTGAAAGCTGGTGAGATGTTATACCTGCCTTCTCTCTGGTTCCATCACGTTCAGCAATCACATGGCTGTGTAGCAGGTAAAAAGCACAATATTTCCAGATGTGGTTTTGCACTGTGGTGGGCGTGCAGCTCGATAGCCCACAGTGAAGCACAGCTGGGACCAAATGTCCATTTAAGATCATCTGCTCCTCCTCAGGAGGAAATAACGATCTTGGCAGACGCCACGGGCTGCCTTCTTGCAGTCCTTTTGCTTGGAATTCATAGCATTGCTGACAGGGCGTAGCAGAAGAAGAAGCCTTTCTAGTTGTCGAGTGTGGAGAAGAGTAGCTAATTCAGCGAGCACGATCCAGATTCCATTTATGACACAGAGCTAAGCAGTTTGTCAGTCTAGTTTGCTAACTGCAACCTGCTAACTACGCACCTTTCATGAAGAAACCGCAACATGGCATGTGCCATTATCACATCAGCAAAAAAGGTTCTGGGGGAAGAAAAGGAAGCCAGAAAGTGTATTAGCTTTAGGCACGGATGTAGACGCAATGTGGAAGATACTCTCTTGTCACATGAGCTAGAATCTGCTCTCACCCAGTTTCTTACCTTGCTAATAAGCCTTTATTTGTGTTACTGAGCCCTTGCACTTATCAAAAGTCTTGCCATCTCTTTTTTGTAGGATTTATCATCATCTCTCCCAAGATCTTTTTTTTTTTTTAATCAAAGATAGTTGCAAAATTTTAGGCATTGCATATTTGGTGCAGGTGGCGGGGTGGGGATGGTGTGAAGTATTATTGTTATGTCATGTAAGTTTTGCAAGGGTCGAGGAAGAATATTTTGCTGTCCTTTACTTGAAAGAATCCTGTCTGCCCAGGAAGAGTAAACACAGTATTTTGAACAACATGACATTGGTATTTGTGTAATACTGCAAACATTGCAAGCCCTTTTTTTCAGAATTAGCAGTACTGTGGTAAAAAGACAAGCGAGCAGTAAAGCTCTTACTCTATTTGCTCAATCCTGCTGCATCAGTCCTTAAATACTTGTTAGAAAAAGTGGAGTTGTTTCCAGTTGCAAGCCCCTAGCCATCCTCTTCTGCTCTGTCTAGCAGAAATGCTGGAGTTGATGAGTTTATTTGGCCTTTAGTCTGTTAACTGCACAGCAGGCTGTATACACTTAAAAAAATCAATATTCTCTGGGTCTACTCCAGCAAGTGTCTGAAACTAGAGTATCCTCCTCTGAAAACCATTGGTACAATATTATACTGCTTGACTTATTTTTTCAGGAGATGTACACCAAAATTAAAACGAGAAGCTAAATTAAAGGAATGCCTCATTGAGGACTGTTGTGAAGTAGTGGTGAATTTGCCATTCTTTACACACTTGGAGGAGGACAGTTGCCTATCCAGATAACAAACTTTTCATTGTATTTGGTATTTTTGATCTAAATAGAAGCATATATTCTCTCTTCCTAAACATTTTACCAGCTTCTGCTCCGAAGAATCCTCAGTATGCAGCCTGCAGAGGAGTTGGTTTGGGTTGAGACAGCGTTGCATTGGCAGCGCTATTAAAGACCTCTCACGTTTACTTTCGTTATTTTTGGCTGTAGCCAAAGATTTGCTCGTTACAAAGTTCAGTCAGTAATAAGGAGAAGCCTGCACTAGCTGAACTGTGTAAAACAGTCTGTGAACACGTCTGTAAATGATTGCATTCTAGCCTTAGAAATGTTTTCCTCTTTCTTGTCCCCTCAGTGAATTATTGGTATGACATGGAATACGACCTGAAATACAGCTATTATCAACTACTGGATGGTCTCACAAAAGCTGTCAAAGTGTCATAGCAGAGGTGGGAGACTCAGCTTGTGATCTCTCCCTCTGGTGTGATACAGTCATCAGTGGCTGTGACTGGAGTGCAAACAGGATTCAAGTGAAAAGAACTGAACATGAAATTCCCCTCAGCAACATCTGACAAACAGACCATGACTATTTTGCTTGGTTTCAGAGTCCGGATCAATTGACCAGGCTTGTGAGTAGGATGTTTCCTAACAGCATTTTTAGGTCTTTGCATGTTGCCTCAGTGATGGTGAGCAAAATAAAATTTGAAAGGAGGCAGTCCAGGTTTTGGAAATCCCAAAACAGAAGCTGTGACTGCTTGTTCAGATTCTATAGATTGTTTTCCTTACAATCCAAGCAGACAAAGAATGATCTGCTCAGCCTCCCACCTGCGCATCAGGCTGCATCAGGCCAACACAAGCGTTTGACTTGGGGCAAAAGTTCTGTCCAGTTGTAAATCACTACGTTCCATGGCTGTGGTTTTGTGATGGTGAGAAATTACAACTTCTGCAATAAAAGGTCAGTTTAAAACCTTCATTCTGTTCTATTTTTTTTTCAAATGACATGAGGGTTAAAGGATATCTAGGAGGACATGCAAAAGTCAATAATGGTGGTTTTCCATGTTTTTATGGCTGGTTTTTATTTCTTCCCACTGTTGTATTTAAATGTAGCCACATTCTCTTACATTCTGAGTGGTGATTTTAGAGTTGCTATGCCAGATCTACAGCAGACCTGCACGTTGCCTGTGGTCTCTTGGCACAATGTGCAATTTCCCAGCTTGTAGCCTCGTGGATTCTTTCATTGCTTTGCCAGTAATCGCTGCCGAACGCGTGGTCAGGCAAGCTGTATGATCCAGGAGCCTATTTCTGCAGCCCTGATTTCCATTTGTATTTCCACAGAAGGGAATGAGACTCCTCACGTGTCTGAGACCTGCAGGGTAGGACTAGAAGGCTGTTAAATACACAGATGTTGCAAAAATGTAGTATTGTTTTTTATGAAAACCAGAAGTTGGTATTTATCGTCAAATCTTCTTACAGTTACTTAGCAACATTAGCAATATGGGTGGAAATTTATTTTCTGTGTATTAATTAAGAAAGTGCAGATACCCTTTAGACAAGTTTGATTAGTGTGAACAAAAATATAATCATCCTTTTACTTTGCCTGTTTCTTTTTTTTTTTTTTTTTTTAAAGCTTAAAGCATCACTTTACGTTGTGGCGCTTGTCCAGAAATTGCTGAAAACTCGAGAGGAATTAAGGACAGATTTTGTTTTGTGACTGGCTTAAGATGTCACGTTACTTCGGGGCTGGTTTGTGCTCACTGTGCCTTGACAAAAGCTCCCAAGCGGTTGAATCCGGACTTTCCCACAGTCGAGGGGAAAGATGATAGGAGTATCTCTTTCTGTCGCTCTGGGGTTTGCAATTTAGTCTCTCTTTCTAATCAGAAGTTAGACCGCATGCCAGGAACGATGCCATCCTGTCTGTGTGGATGGATGGTGTGAGCGTTTTCCTCCCCCGAGCCGGGGTGTCTGGAGGGAGCCGCGCTCTGAACTACGTCTCCCAGCAGCCCGTGCTTGCCGACTGAAGGAAGCAGACACCCTGGTTCCTCCTGGACTTTGAGCAGAGATTTTAAACCCGGGAAGCCACGGGCTAACCACGACAGTCACAGTTGGTGCAGTTTCACGCCGCAGAAGAGGGCAGCTCCTCTCTCCGATGGCGACGGCGCGGGTGACGGTTCTGCCTTCGCTGAGGTGCCTGTTCGATGACCCTGTCGAGATCCGTGTGGCCGGTCTCCTGCCGCAGCAGGCCGTCACCCTCCGAGCCAGCCTCGTGGACGAGAGCGGGGAGCTTTTCCAAGCCCACGCTCGCTACAGAGCTGGGAGCAGTGGAGAGCTCGACCTCAGCCGCTCCCCGGCCCTGGGGGGCAGCTATTTGGGAGTGGAGCCGATGGGGCTGCGGTGGGCGCCGATGGGGCTGCTGTGGGCTCTGCGGTCTAAAGCACCCTACAAGCGGCTGGCAAAGAGAAACGTCCTGACCCCTTTCTGTGTGGACTTGGAAGTGTATGAGGGCCATGAGGACATGAGCCGCTTGCTGGGAAAATGCACCAATGAGCGATGGTTTTTAGGAGAGGGGGTGAAGAGGATTTCAGTCAGGGAAGGGCGTCTGAAAGCAACCCTCTTCCTCCCTCCCGGTGAGTTTTAATTCCGTTCTGGTTTTCTAGGTGAGATTTACAGCACGTTTTGTGTTCTCTGGATGCACTCGGCAAACCCAGAGCAAAGCCTCAGCTAATGGCTCTCGGTCTGTGCTTGGTCCCGCTGCTGGGATCCTCTCAGCAGAGCAGGGAGGAGCAGATACTGCCCAGGCAAGTCAAGTGCCGAGGCAGGGGTGGGCAAGGAGGGCAGCAGTGGTAACACAATGTGTCTCCTGTTTATTCTGGCTGAGGGGTTCTCTCCTGCGGTGAGAGCTCTGAGGAAAAAGAGCATTTATTTCTTAGCCCTTCTGTTCAGCTGAGAGCTCCGAGAGGCCCCTGACCTTCATCAGAGCTGTGGGGTGTGACAGCCCTGGCCATGTGGTGAGGAAGGACGAGCCATGGTTGGAACACTGGACTCAGGCTGCAGCCAGCCTAGGCCACTCCAGCAGCTGCCACGGAGCTTCCTGCAGGCTCTGGACTTGTCTCTCTCTCTCTTTGGCTAAAGAAAAGCCAAAGAAAGAAGTCTCTACCTGATAGAGCAGCTTGACTGCACCAGTGCCTGGCATTTGTGGGTGCATTTCATAACCTAAGTATTCCCTCCCTGGAAAACCTGCCAACACAGTTCCTAAAGAAGCAGTACCGTTTATTCACTCATCCCCAGTGGCCTGAGAACATCTGACCCAATGTCAGCTGAAATTCATGGTGGGAGCAGGGTGCCCAACTGGTGAACTTCTTATAATGAGTTCCTAAGAGAGAGAAGAAACATCCAGATTAGTGTCCTTACAGTGACTGTGTGTCTGCCTGGGAATGACAACCTCTGCGGAAAGATTCAGAGGGTGATTTCCTTCTTATACCTACTGTCCTGATGTGTGCTGAGGGGGCACTGCTGAGAGGGCAGCTGCAGAAACTTTTCTCTTTGATTATATGTACAAACGCATCTTCCATTGCAGGGCCTGGCCCATTCCCTGGACTTGTGGATTTGTATGGATCTGGTGGAGGTCTCGTTGAATACAGAGCGAGTCTCCTGGCTAGCAGAGGCTTTGTGACTCTGGCTCTTGTGTACATGGCCTTTGAAGATCTCCCTGCTATGCCAGAGGTTCTTGAGCTGAGCTATTTTGAGGAAGCTGTGAACTTCTTGCAGAAGCAGCCTCAGGTAAGAGACAAGTTATGGTGCTCTTGCCGTTAGAAACTATGTTCCAGCTTTCTAATTGGAATGTTACACGCCACTGAATGCAACAAATTTTCTGAGATGTTAGGAGACAGCACTGAAAGACAGCGTGATCTGAGATGGAGAAGCAAGAAATCTTAGCTTTTTTTCCCCCCTACTTTTGCATTTTTTGAGATTTTAGAAGGGAAAAAAAAAGTCTGTTGACTTTTTGTCGCAAGGTTTTGATTCTGAGTGAGTTTCACAAGACAGCAGTAAAACACTTCAACAACAGAACCCCTTACAGTTGTAGCACTGCAGAGCGTGCAATGTCTTAAGAAGCTGGGGCTGTATTTGAATATATGGGATGATAAAGACACTTTATAGCAATACTTGATCTAACTTAATCTGTTATTCACTTTGTGAATGTTGACACCATCTTGACAACCAGGGATGCAGCCAGAATTCAGCCTGGTTTGTTTGTCTTGCTCCTCATAGAGCTCTGAAACTTCCAGAGTATCTTAGAAGACACACATTACAAAATGGATTTGGTATGAAGAGTCTTCACTATAAATAAGTTGATTTAAACAGTTACTTGGCTATTGAGCCTCAGGTGTGATGAACGTTATGTGTAGGAGAGTATCACAAAACAGTGGTATGAAAGAAAATTACCTGAGAAAAGAACATTGAAGGGAATTGGAAACAGGAGCCATAAAAGCTACAATACTGAGAGCAAGTGTCTAGCCAGGATGTGGAGGGAGCAAAGAGGCTTTGTCTGCAGAGATCACCAGAAAGAAGAAGTGTTACAGGAGGAGAAATATTGAGGAGCTGTAGAATTCTTAGTCACTCTTGTGGAGGGTCAGCAGAGGGATAGAAATGGGAGTGATACACCCTGAACGGAGAGAGGGAAGGGATGAAATCTGTGTGGTCTTAGATGAGAAATGAAGGAAGCAGAACTGGGAACTTTATGTCAGCCCAGGAAATAAGGAGTAGCTGTTAATGGTTGTTTTCATAACTGTGTTTCAGGTGAAAGATACTGGGATTGGCGTTTTGGGCTTGTCTAAAGGAGCTGATCTGGCCCTTTCCATGGCCACGTTTCTACCTGGCATCAAGGCAGCTGTCAGCATATCTGGAAGTAGCTTTAACTCTTTCATTCCCCTGCAGGGGGATGGCTTCACTCTTCCTGCCCACCCGTATGATTTGGGGAGGATGAAGACCAGTGACAAGTCCGGCCTGGTAGATTTTTCAGATATCCTAGATGATCACAGGGATCCAGCAACTTGGGATTGTCGCATTCCCCTGGAGAGGTCCTTGGCCAAGTTCCTCTTCCTGTCTGGACTGGATGACAAAAACTGGCAAAGCGATCTCTATTGCCAGGACGCTCCTCAGCGCCTTCAGCGCTACGGTCGGGAAGCGGAATTTTGCTCCTATTCTGGAGCAGGGCACCTCTTGGAGCCACCATACTTGCCTCTGTGCCAGGCTTCCATCCACAAAGTGCTCGGGATGTTCGTGCATTGGGGAGGACAATGGAGGGAGCATGCCAAAGCCCAGGAAGATGCGTGGTGCAGGATACAGGCTTTTTTCTGGCGACACTTGATGGACTCGGACATCCCTAAGGGCAAGCTGTAGTGGAAGCTGACAAAGATGCCAACCAGGGTTGGTGTTGGAACTCTCACTGAATCTTGGAAACTCATCAGAAGTTCCTTGGCCTGCCTTCCTCTAAACCCCACAGTTACATAGTTGTTTAATTTCATTCCCTAAATAATGTTTCATTTTTTTTTTGAGTGGAATTTTAGTTGTCTTCTGGCCCCAGCTGCACTGTAGATTGACATCATCTCATCTGCCTGTGTGCTGTAGTCCTCTGAGAAAAACCCAACATCCCATCACGCCGATTGCATTTGTACTGACCTATCTTTGCCCTCAGTCTCCAACCGTCATTCGTAGCAGGGGATACTCACATAGGAGTTTTCTGTTGAGTTGTTTAGTCTTCCACTTTTAACTAATTTAGATGTAAACAGCATTTGATTGGGACAACACTTCAGTACATTCACCTTTCTTCTTGGTATGTCATTTTCTCACATTTCTTAGTAAAAAGGTTGTGGCATTTCTGATCTCACAGGCACGCTTCTGACTTTGAAGCGCAGCGCTAACATTTTTTTTCTGGTACCTCAGAAAACAGCAGAAGTGAATCTTATCCAGCTTACACTAGTTGAATCTTTTGCTGACTGCAGATAAGTTACATACCAGGGTAAATTTTCCACTGTCTTACTCAATAAATACAATGTGTGTGTGTGTGTATGCACAGTTTACTTGAAATTATCTGAATGAAGCCTTTGACTCTCTTGATGGCTGTAAGTCACAAGCTGTCACTTTGCCTGGCTGAAGAGATTACGTACAGAAGTCCTTACCTCCTAAGAGGAGTGGTGGAGTTTGTGGTAGGGGTCTGCACAGCGCAATGGCTGCCCAAAATGAGCTCATTGGGCCGCAGGGGGCTGTAGACTCTCTCATGCCACACATCCAAGGCAGAGTGAGCCCCTTCAGGCACTTCTGATTTTCGCACTCCAGCCCTTCCTCAAAACCGTAGGTGGGTGCCACTTAGCTCAAGGTGTGACCTGTTAAGAGTGGGGAGGTCTTGCTCCTGTTCACCCGTACGTGTCATCCATCAAGTTTTCTGTTATTATCTCTTCTTCATTTCTGTTTGTCCCCCATGTGTCTATGTCCTGCATGGACTTTGGTTTTTCCAGTTGTTTAGTGAGTGGGTAGGACCTGGCAGAAGAGCAGTGCGACAAGGTAAGTCAAACACACTTAAGCTTGCGGTCTATACTTTGAATTACAAAATTGTAAACTTCTGAGAAAGTGCGTTGTCTATGGGAAGCTACCATTGAGAGGAAAAATACTTCCCATCGGTAAATCGACAATGTGGTCAGTGATGCTTTCATACAGACTGTTATGTTGTCACATTTGGCAGCCAAGTTCAAGGAAAACAGTGTTGAGACTGGAGGTGACTCCATCGATGACGATAGCACATAGGACCTCTTTGTTTTGTTGATCAGGAATGAAAGCTTTGCTGCCCAGTTGAAAGCCCTTTATTTATCACTTGGGTGGCAGCTGGCAAGAAAGACTGAAAAAGCTGATTTAGCTGAGCGGCCCAGTGCCACGTACAGACAGGAAAATGGGCCAGCCAACCCGGTTGTGCTGCAAGTTCCTTTTAAATCAGCTGGTCTTTTAAAGTTAAACTCAAGTTTGAAACTTTTCTTCAGGAAATAGAATCTGGAAACCGAAGGGAGACTAGTATCAAATAATTGCAAAGGGCCTAACTTCAATAGGATGCTTATGCCTGCTTTTGAGCATGTTCTGCAGTGTTTTGTCGAAGACTTTGACTGCTTAACGTTTCTTCTGCTGAAGAGGTAATTTAGACAAATGGGGCTGAGATCACATCTTTTTCTGAGTAAGTGGCAAAAATTCTACCAATTGCAGCCTGTAGAGTCAGGGTGCTTTATATAATTTCTCCAGACTTGAATAGTAGAGACATTAATAATGTGAAATGTGAAAGTTCTTATTTAATTAAAGCTAACTGACCATTAGCTGCCAAAGAGATCCTACGCCAAGCACAACTGATAAAACTAATAAAAATTGGATGGGGAAAGCTATTCCTGTAATCTGTAACTGAAAAGTGCTTCGGATAAAACAGCATCAAAGGACGAGCTTGAACCCAAAGATATTGGCTTGATGCTTACATCAGTCATCCCTTTGCTTAGCACTTTGCACTACGTTTCTATTATGAAAATGAGAATGAGAAAAGCTTCTGACAAGTCTCTTAAGAAAACAGAAGCAATCTCCCTGCAAGTAAGATGCTGTGAACGAATTTATTAAAAGGGAGCAATACGTCTTGCCATGTTCTTCTGGGGCAGGAGGATTTCCCTAGCTAATTTGGAGCCAGTCAGCGATAGAGATGGCTGATTTGCCAGTGCGTTCTTAAAATTTTCCTTCTTTACTCTAGCTCTACTTGTGGAAGGAGACTACCCCAAAAAGAATTGGTGTGGAAAAGCCTGTCCTTGAGTGGAAAGCCTCTAAACTCTACCTTAGCCTTCCTGCCCATATTCCAGAAATCTAAAATAATCCGAGTGAGTGTGATTTAAGTTTTATGAAGCATATAGAGCTTATTATTTTAAATTAGGTGTCCCTGAGGCAGGCCACACGCTGTTTGCACACTCTGAGACCTTTGGACACAGCTTATCCTTTTCTTTGTGGACTTACTGTGCCAGATGATTTTCTTTACATAGCTCCATCCTGCTGTCCTATCTGCTAATTAACCCTTCTTGAAGACCTCCAGGGACTCCTCTGACATTTTGGAAGCATTTAGGCACTGCATGGAGCAATGTCCTCTGTGCTTCTCAAGGCTTCCCGAAAAAACATGTGGGATTCTTTCCCCTTACATTGCCACATGTGTTGTTAGGCTGTGCACAGCTGGGGAAGAACAAGTTCTTGATGTTCTTTTACTACAGACCTGAAAGTACCAAGTCCAATCAGGTATTTAAGTGAACACAAGCTAAACCTGATCTTGGAAGAAACTGCAGAATGAAAGTAATAAAAATGCCTGGGCTCTGACTCTAGACAGCACTGAGAGAAAAATAGTTAAATGAGTTGCATTCTATTCATTTACACTTGTAGCTTTTCAGTGGTTTAAGGCACTGAACATTTAACATTTTGTGTCTACACTGTAAATCTGTGTTTGCGTTAAAGTCACTTTAGTGTGCTATTATGCTCCAGCTTAACAGTTCTAAGAATACCTTCCTGCCCCAAGAGGCAGTCATGCCTTTTTCCTGCTTGCTGATCTAACTGAGAGCTAATCCTGTGGAGAAAAAAAATCACAAAACCAAGCACAAAAGAAGATTAAAATCTTCAGCTGGATCAGAGAAGGAAGTAGCAGGAACGTGCGTGGGGTTGCCAGAAGCAGCCGTGGTGAGCGATATCGTGCTTTTCAAGGCCAACATGGCCTTATGCCAAACCAAGATTATTGGGTAACTCAAGCAGCGATTTTAGTTAGGTTTGCAATAACTAGTCCAGCTGATTCTAAATTGTGATCCATTTCTGAAAACAGGAAAGTGAATGCTTGGTGGGTCGTTGTGCGCTCCAGCCATCCTCCCATCTCTGGATCATTTCAGATCAGAGGTACTTGTCTCCTTGGTGCAGGAAGACTAGTGGAAGGGGTCAATGGTCTGTACCTTTCAGTAGAAATATCACATCAAATTGCTGGAACAGCACTTACTGCTTCCCTGGCAGTCTGCATACCACTCCCTGTAAAGCTGAGACCGCTTATGCTCCATTTAGATCAGGAATGTGTTTCATGCCTCCTAGGAATCTTGTTCTTTCTGTGGCCATCTGTACCCTCACCTGGAGGCATAATGTCTGCTTTCTCTTTTTTCTCTACTTTTTGCACAATTCCGCTCCTGTCCCACTGGCCGTGACCCAGACCAACCTGATTCCAGGTCACCCCGACACTTTGCGTGACCTGCTGGCAGAGGGGATGTGTTTCTCAGCGATACCGAAGGCCAGAGCTGAACAGGCCATGAGGTAATGCTGACAACTAGGAACCATGATGCTTTGACTGGTGGAGATCAGATGGTATTATGCAGTTTTGTTGAGAAATGACCTCAAACTGGTCTTGTTTCTGGTAAACTACCTTTGGGTGGGTCAGAAGGACAGCTTTATAGGGGTAGATTAGGCACAATGAAACATCTCTGCCAGTCTAAGAGCTGTAGAACTGTATAGGGGATACTCTTCTACTAGCCCTGAGAGCGGACACGTTGCAGTATATTTGTAGTGGCTAATGAGTGTATTCAGTGTGTTTTGTGTGATGAACACTGAAAAAGTGCACCATGTGTGGCATCTCAGTAGCAAAATTGAGATCAGGGGAGCAGTAGACCGTTCAGATGGGTCATTCAGACTGGGCTAATGGTTTACTTGAAGTATTTTGTGTTAGTTGAAGTTTTGATCTAGTTTAGTATTTTATTTTTTTTTAAATTATGCCAACGGAGTCTGGAGGCCGCTCTTATTTCCATGTTGTTTGTTTAAAGTTGAGTTTGCTATTAATGAAAGGAATTCCCGTGACACTGCTTTGGTTGTGCTTGGTTAAAAGTAACATTTGCAGCAATCAGCTGGTTTGACCATGTCTGTGTGTAGGTCACAGAACAGCCAAGGCTGGGTACAGAGCCAAATGCTGGCTGAACAGACCGACTGTTATGACTGAGCAGGAACAAAACCCTGGGAAAAGCCGTTAGCATCACACCAGCAGAACACAGCTATCTGTAGAGCATTCCTGTTCAAAGCCAGCCTGCTCAGCTTTCCATTTCTGGTGACAGAGCTCGCAGAACAGGAGGTGTCTGTGGTTCAGAGGTTACCTCCCTGTGTGGGGGTACACAGGTGACTGGAGTTTGTACCTAGTGATGTACGTCGGTGATGCCATCCAGCTTGGAGTAAGACGAAAGGACAAATCCTTCAATCTGCTCCGATTATTTGTGAGAACCTCCTATGTTGATATTGCACTGATAAGTACACACACTGATTACGCTGTGTTTATTTACAAGTTCTGGATGCTGAGCTTAAAAATTCAAACATTACGCGATGCT